TAGGACCGGTCCAGCCTCCTAGCTTTGGGGCAAATTCCCGCAGCCAGTTGGCGGACAGCTCGTCCATACAGTCCACCCGCAGCATGCCACCTCTGAAGTCTACCCCAAGGAAAGACGCCGCGTAATCCTCACCTCTAAAAACTTCCTCCAGGAGGAGGTTTTGGAGCACCGTGAGCTGCTCCGATTCCAACGACTCCGACGGATAGTTTTGAGGCAGTACAGCCATGCGGATGCCTTTGACGGTTGGGGGGTGCCGAGTATGCCTTGCGACTGAGCCTCTGCACAAGGTGCCTACCATTAGCAGAGGCAAGGGTGATATAAAAGTAGGCACCATTCAGAGTACTGTGGCGGAAGSGTAAAAAAAACGAGTTTCCGTATAAATGGGCGTACGTACGGAGCTTCTCCAGAAGAGGAATATGCAAAAATAGTGTGAAAATACCTTTAAGTTTTTAAAATATATCTTTTTAAAAATTCAAAAATTTTCACAAAAACAGCTACATTTACATTTTCATTACATTACATTTTTCACTCTATATATTTAAATATACACTCTAAACATTGAAATAAGTTCACATTTCAATTTTATTTTGTATTATTTACCTAAACTTATTAATTTAAAAATCACTTAGCACACTCATCGTTCAAAAGGTTAGATTGCTTACAATTATGAGAAAAACGAGCGTTGCCACATCTTAAACATAAAATATGTAGGATTTTTAACGATTCTCCTTTGTTTGATTTTTCGCGTGATTCTTTTTTCTTTATTAACTTTAATAGAAAATACTTTCCAACATTTTGCAGGTTATAAATGAGTTGTGAATACTTTTTTCATATATGTATGTACAAGCATATATATATGTGTAATATGTGAGTTATATTCAATGAACAGAAATAAGTAAAAATCGACTACTATCTAGGTCGTTCGGACCGACAATGAGTGTTTTCGATGAGTTTTCACTGACGACTATCAATAGGTGGACCCTCTTGCTTTTGCAAGATTGCACTATGACACAAGATGCAAAAATCCTACACCGAAATATGCAAGGCCAAAAGTGCATCGATTGCAGAATCTTATGATTTATGACGGCATGAAAATAAACATGGGTTTTGGATTGAAAAATTTTACAGCCATTAGAAATAATTTTCTGCGTGTTTTTTTTTTGTGCCGTTGCACCAAGAGGAAAATTTTGCAATTCGTACACCATGCAAGGTTTTTGCAAGAGCCAGATAATCCCCTTAATATGAGAATATCAGGTGACAGCTGGATTTGTATATGGAATGTAAACAAATATCAAGTGACAATTTAGGACCGGCAAAATATGTCTTCCAATAAAATCGATTAAAATTGAGCAAGCACCGATTCTCATCAAGTAGTTTTCTGCGAAAACTGGTTTTCAATGTGCTTTCGTTATACTATGTTCAGACCGACACTTAATCAAACGATGTCGGCTGTTTAGTGGTATATCCCACTAATCTTATAAATTTATCAAGATTTCGCCATACAAAAATGACAGTTCAAAATCACTTTATCGAAATGATTTGAAACTGATCCACGCTAAATCGCTCTGTGCGATTCTGATTTTGAGCCATCTACTTGGCAGCATTAAAAATCTAGTACATTATCACAACTTATTTAGACACTACAAAGGGGAAAAAATATAAACAAACAATTTTTTAGAAAGCAATGAATCTAATTTCACCTGAAAATCGACTTAACAAATGAAAAAATGCATCCATTATTTCTATTATATGGAAAATATTAAAAGAATTACGGTTTTTTTCAAAATACTATATGACAATCTTTTCTTTTGATATATATTAAGCGATGTGAATTCTTGAATGACAATAACAGCTGTTTTTTGATCGGGGTGACTGAAGTACTGTGGCGTAGTATTCATTTCTGCGTTGGAGCCCTTCGGCCGCACTTTAAAAAAATAACCCTGGTCGAGCCAATATCCGGGGTAACCTAAGTATTTTATTATTTTGTTACTTAATATTATATAATATTACCTAGTTGTTTAGTAAATTTATTTAAGAAGAAATCCATCCATGCAAGGAAGGACTCTTTATACTCAATTTAATTTATGGAACATTTGTTTTTATTAGAACTAAGATTGCTAAATAAAGAAAGAGAATTTATAGTWCTGAAATAGAGAAATTCAGCGAATTGCTCATATTTGGTTATTATCATATGGCAGCGCTCCATTTCCTCACAATTGTTAGCACATAAATCAGGAATAAAGGGATCTTCAACTTATTCCAGTGTGAGAGCGCCTCAAAATAAGCGTTTTTTATAACATTTTCCATTATGGCCAGATCGAACAAAATAAGAACTTTTGGGCATTTTAAATTAAAACACCCAACATTTAGTACGAATAAAAATTTCTATATAGTGGTTATTTATTATATGGAGAAACTATTTAAGGCTTTTTAAAGTATATTAGAACAACTGACTTTTGACCTTTGAATATCCAATAAAAAGATTTAAGCTTGTCAGCTCTCAATCAGTATATGTTTTTAATTTTTTCCATTGAAAATAATACTATGATGCTTCAAATTACAAAACGTTTGAAGAAATACCTTTAAATTTCACAAATTTATTTAATTTTCATTGTTTTACATTTTTTATAAGCAGTCTTGAACGATGCAACAAATCCCTCTGTTTTCATATTTTTTTGGTAAGATTTCAATCTGGCCATCGCTCGTTTCCAATTGATAAACGTCACAACCTACTGAACTCAATTTGCTGTCAGTAGGTTTTGACGTTTAGCAGTTGCTCTCGAATGTGTTATGTTCGGAGTTAAACATCTCATTATCTCTGACATAAATGCTGCTCACTACAAGTGTAAGAGGTAATCTATGTAAATAAAAATGAATTGTTGTTCGTTAGTCTGATTAAAACTCGAGAACGGCTGCGCCGATTGATCTGATTTTGGTTTTAAAATGTTTGTCGTAGTTCAGGGTAGGTCCAAACGGTGAGCAAATAAGGAAAAATTGCAAGTAAGATAGAGTAAGAATTGAAGAACGCATTAAAACAAGAGTTTTGAATCGACAACATAATATCAACTTTGCTCATAACATCGCGTATTTAAATTTCAAAATATAAAAATAATTAATGTGTTGACATGATGGGGGCCAACCTAACAGTGTTACCAACTCTCAAAAATATTTTTATTATAATAACGGGGCTTCTCGACAGGATATAATTTATAGAATACTAGCTGCATTGCCGTGCCCATTGCCTGTGGAGACTCCAAATTGCTCATTGCTTACTAGATATGGAATACTACATAGTTTGCCATATATCGAAAGCTAGAACCAGAGAACGTCTATCATAGAGAAGGTTTACGGCGCCGAGATCGTAAAAATATTTTTGGGTAACTCGGTCGAGATGAGCCAGTTTTACCACTGCCAGCTCGGCAGGAGGAATTTTAACATTTTCGTTTGAACAGAGTTGAGCGTGAAATAAAAATTAAGCTCAACACTATATATTGCTCTAACAGACGTATGTTCGCTCTTTTGCTTATATTTTTATACGTTTATATGCAAACATGTGTATTCGTATGAATTCTATTTGTACATATAACACCCCTATTCTGTGCACTTGACAAATTAATAAAATATTGAAAATTAACTCAAATATTTATCAAGCGAGAAATATTTTGGTATTCTGTGGCAATCTTGATAAAAGTAAAAGCTTCAATTCGTAAAGCTTTTCCCCACATGTGTGGTGAACAAAATAATGTAAATAGAAAACAGCTGATTTCTATTCAAATTATTCGTTAAAATGGACTGTTCTGCAACGTAAGTTTTCAAATTTTATTTATTAACAAAATTTATAATTTAACTTTATTTGATAGTAAACCCAAACACGATAGAGCTACATACGAGCAACTGGAGGCATATGTTTTATTTTGCCAAGCACACCCAGAAATGGGTACGGGAAAAACTGCCCAAAAACGCCTCAACAAATGAAGGAGCTGTGGCAGCAGCTGGCAGATGAGCTTAATTSGTGCAGAGGACCAATACGAAGTGCTGCAAAATGGAAAGAGGTAACATTTTAGTTTATGTTTCGTATATTTATTATATTGTGTTAATTTATAGACGTTAGGCGTTTGGAAAAGCCAACTGCGCACTCGTGCAAG